GAAGATGTGGTATATTTATACAATGGAATACTATTCAGCCATAAAAACCGACAACATAACGTCATTTGCAGCAACATGGATGCTCCTGGAGATTGTCATTCTAAGTGAAGTAAGCCAGAAAGAGAAAGAAAAATACCATATGAGATCGCTCATATGTGGAATCTAAAAAAAAACACCACCACAAACAAAGCACAAATACAAAACAGAAATAGACTCATAGACATAGGATACAAACTTGTGGTTGCCAAGGGGCGGAGGGTGGGAAGGGACAGAAGGGTTCTTTCAAAATTGTAGAACAGATAAACAAGATTATACTGTACAGCACAGGGAAATATACACAAGATCTTATGGTAGCCCACGGGAAAAAAAATGTGACAATGAATATATATATGTTCATGTATAACTGAAAAATTGTGCTCTACACTGGAATTTGACACAACATTGTAAAATGATTATAAATCAATAAAAACTGTTAAAAAAGTTTAAAAAAATCAAGTAAGCATGTTTACGTGAAGGAATTAAGTTTCAATTAATTATCAATATCATGACATTGTTTTTTACACCAAATCTGACAAATACAATGGACTATGAGCCTGCTTGGCACTCTGAGCACCACTTAAACACTGTCTCTGAGGGAAAGTCTTCCAAAGTTTGAAGCAACTCACAAGTAAAACCTTGGGAAGATTATTTCTTTGCAAGTTCTTAAAGAAAGCACACAGGGTAACACTACATACTCTGATTTCTTAGAATCTAAACCTACATAAACCAAACACGGCACTGAGATCAACAAAAGGAACCAGGCCCAGAAGAAAACTTCAGTTACAAAGTGAAATAGGGAAGAACAAATCTGACTCCGTATCAGACCTGCTTCTTTCACTTTAACCTTTGTGTTCAAGTCACTAAGGGGACGTTGCCTGTAAGCTGCAACTACACACAATGGCCCGTCTCTGGGAGCCCTGCCTCCCAGGTAACGAACACTAAGCTAAAACACCTGCTAAACTTAGCTCACAGGAAGCGTCCTGACCAGGCCCCCTGGGGCTGAGTGCAGGAAGGAAGAAGTGAACCCCTTCCCCCTGGAGGCTGAGCGGAAGCAGGAAACGCTTGCCTTCACCCCCTCCCCTATTAGTATAAAAGAAGCCTGAATTCTAACTCAGGCAGGACCGTTCTTTGGGACACCAGTTCCCCATCTTCACAGCCTGCTGGCTTTCTGAATGAAGTCACTATTCCTTGCCCCAACACCTTGTCTCTTGCTTTACTGGTCTGTCGTGCAGCAAGCAGAATGAGCTTGGACTGGGTAACAAAACCAAGGCAATGCAAGTCCCACGGCACAGAAAGACCTGGCGGGAGAAGGGGCAGTCGCTGCCAGTGACGTGATCATGAAACAGCAATCACTCGTAATCATTAAATGTCCTTCGCCAGTGGGATCGCTAAGATTTTAAAACTCAGTAAAATGAGACTTGACACAGTTCTCCTGTAGGCTCACATTTCCCACCACCCATTTCAGAGGGAATTCCAACAACACCAGAGGCGGGTCGCTGCCTTACGGGTGGCTGAGAGCTGCCCTGGGCTGCCCCAGTCTTCAGAAGCAAACAGACAAACAGACCGCAGCTCACGCCCCGGCGGCTCTGCTCAGATGGAAGGATGGAAGGACAGGATGGCTATCTTGTGGGTGTTTTCATGAGCAAATCCTACACTCCCTCAGGAGAGGTGTAAGGACTTGTTTCTTAAGGGTATAAAGGGAAAGTTTCCAATCAGGAGGCTGTGTGATGAGATCACATCAGGGTTTTCTGGGCAAGTAAATTAGGCTGATTGGTTTGGTGAAGGCAAAACCTAACGTCTTGCTGAAAAAAAAAAATCCAAATCTGGACAATCTTAAACTCTGTGGTTCCTCTTGCAGGATTATCTGATTACATGTACTATTCAGATGCTGCAAAATTCAGCAGGCCTGAAGCCCACCCGGGGGCCTGAGAAGCCGCGTTTCTGCCCTCCAGCCTTGGCCCTTCAGGCCCCCCCAAGACTCCCCATTCCCCCAAGACCGCTGTGGAGACTGAGCTGATTGTCACAGCTGTGCGCAAGCTGGGGTCCCCCGGCTCCCGGTCTGCAGCAGAGCTGGACCAGGTAAGGTGCACTTTTCTTTAGGTGGCCTGAGTGCTCACATGTGTTGATGTGTTTCTGGGCACAGTCATGCTCACTCTGACTTGCTCCCCAGAAACAGCAGATCAGGGTGGCAGAGTTGTCATGGCTCCCCTGTTACAGACAGGAACTGAGCGACAGAGCTAAGGCAGCTTGTTAGCTGATGGGAAGTGATAAAACCAGATACCCTGCCCTCTTCGTTCCTGGACTGCTAAGTGTCTGCCTGTAGGCATGACCGCAGTGGTCCACCTATCCACAAGTGTCCCCACCACTGCCTGGCCTAAAGCTTTCAGTCCCGAAGCACCAGCCCCTCCTCCCAGGGCACAGACGCCACACCTGAGAGCACTGGGTGACCAGGCATCCTGGCAGGCTCCTCCAGCCCAACTCCTCTCCCAGGAGGCAGTAAGAGGCCTGGACTGCAGTGGCCCAGCAATGCTTGTGTTTTATATTTTATTTTATATTTACTATTTTATACTCACATAGCAGAGAACAGACAGGCACTATTGTAACATGAACAAATTCAAATCTTTTCCTTAAAATATACTGCACAGGGATCCAGAGGAAGAGATTTCTGTTTGCTAAATCTTAGAGTACCCCGGGAATGCCCTTGACTCTGAGCGTCCTTGAGAAGGGAGAACACGAGGAGGATTTATGGAAGCAAATCTCAAGGCTACTAAAAAAATTCCAGGAAGGGGGTGGTCTGGGCTGTTGCAAACTGGAGAAGGCCTGCTCAGTGGGCTGGAGAAGCCCGGCCAGGGCGTAGCAGGCCAGGAACGGGCCCCTCTGCATCTGTGCTGCCAGGTTTCCTGACTGCACAAGAGGAGGAGGAAAACTGGAGTTTTAAGCGATGGCTTCTTACTCTGGAGCACTGGCAACAGATCATACACCACCTGTATGTAATTCAGGCTGAGCCCAGTATGTCTTCTGGCCAGATGCAGACACCTCTCTGTTTGCGACCTCTGGCCAAGAGTCGCCAGAAGACAGCTGTGGGGACTGGACGAAGGCTCTGGCCCTCTAACCTATCACTCAGACAACAGCCGTCCGCAGACTTGCACCTCCTGGAGGGGGAGGCCCGGCAGAGCCCAGGACTGGAGTTAATGCCCACAGCTCTCAGCCCACTTCTGCACTTAGAGGTGTGAACCTTTGGCAAAGGTCAGCCAAAGCACTAGGAGAACCCAGAGAACAGTGTTGAGATCTCTCTATAAATAATAAGAGCCCCATCCTGAAAAACAGGATGAGGCATGGGCTCTTTGATGAGTTAAGGTATGAGGCCAGGGCTTCGGAGGCAGTGAGATGACTTTTTGCAATCAGAGGCTCAACTGGACTTCAGATGAGGAGACTTGACAAATAGCTTCTCTGGATTAAAGACGTGGGTTTTGTGTTTTTTT